TTAATTATTTTACAATAGTAACAAGAAAAAACGTTAACTTCGGTTGCGCCGAAGCTATTGTATAATACCCTTCACAAATACAAAATGTTCCTTAGAAGAACTTGATTTCAATTGTTCAGCTTGTATGATTTAATATAATTTCTTTGGATATTCCATTATTGCCTTAGATAATGATCGGTTCCAAATTTCGTGAAGATATCTCAGCAAATAAAAAAGTTTTCCATATATCCCATTGTATGGCAGCTAAGTATGTGCTATAGTAGTCCGATATCGCACATTCCAACAAAGGAGCAGCTCCTTGGTGAGAAACCATATGCTAAATTTAAGATCGATATATCAAAAACTGAGAGACTAGTTCGCGTATATACAGACGGACGGACAGACGGACAAGTCAACTTAGCTCATCATGCTGATCAATTATGTATACTTACTTATATTTTATAGAGTCACCGACGTTTCCTTCTTGGTGTTCAAAACTTGGTGGCAAATTTAATATACTATGTTCAGGGTTTAAAAACGCGTCTTAACTTTGATCAGCAATTACACGTAAAAGCAATCACAGAGTTATCGAGTTGAATAGGTACAAGTATGCGGATACCTCATTAAATCTATCTAAATCGCTATCCTCAATGCTACCCAGAATTTGTTTTGCATATTTTAGATCAGTTTTATTGTTGTGAATGGCTCAAATGACAAAAAAAAACACAATTTTTTTTTATTCTTTGATTTTAAAAACTTAAGCAGTAAAATCAATTATAATAGTTTATACAATTTAAAAATGTATGTGTTTAATGTTTTAATTTAAACCAAGAAAGAATCGCAGCACAATTGCGCATGCGTCAGTGGACATGCTGCGCAGTTTGATTGAACATCTCGTATAGTTTGTTCGATTGGCTACTCTTTAACGCTTGCCGAATTGAAGATAGCTAGTAATTGACAGCCATTTGAAATAAAACAGCATAAAATGTTTTCTCTTACCCTAGTTTTATGGTTTGATTGTTTGAATTTAAGCCAAAATTTTTCCGTCGCATATGTCAAGTTGAAGAGTAGTTAGTTGTACGCTCGTCATTGTCTGCTTTAATTGAAAATAAACCTTTTTGGTTTTGGCCAGGAACCGGGATCCAACTGTAATCACTACACTATTTCATCACCCAGTAATATTATTAATAATCTTATTTACAATATGGAGCTGCTGGGACTTAGTACATATATTCTGAAAATATTAATAATTTTGAATAGCCATCCATAATTACAGATAGTTCTAATAATAGGAGCCATATTCTTTACTTTAATTCACATATTTCCTTGCGGATTTCGAATAGAAGACTGAGCATAATATATTATTATAACAGCATCATATCGTGGTGGCATATTCTGCTGATAAACCTCGTGTTCTTCGTTTTATTGTTTCTGTCCCATATACATACATACATATGTATATTACTTATTCGTTCGCTTGAGGATTTGCATAGATTGTCCATTCATCAACCATCTTTTTCGTCTCACATGCTGTTCTTGCTATTATATATACATATAAGTATATTAATTCATCGCCCACCCTTCAATTGGTAAATTAAATAATTAACGTCATTCTTGATGTTTATGAAGGTTTGAAGTGGGAAATTTCTTTACCACTTCGCAGCGTTAATAGCGCCAGATAGCATTGCTTATCAATTCAATAATAAAATAATTAGAACAACTTAGCTGGAAATGTAATTGGTTTTTACTTGAAATAAGCCGAATATATACTTTAATTTAACTTATGTAGAGACTTATATAAACCGATGAGATATTAAATAGTCACGGATCTAAGTAGTTTTGTTCTTCAATGTTGTTTATCACGAATCTGTGTGATTCACTGTGATGATAGTTACAATGTTAGACGGCTTTTACATTGGGACTCTTTTGACCCTCATATTTTTCAAATTCTCTTTTGGTGTCGCTCTGTACATTCACACGGTCAAAAAGAGTCCAGCAACTTGAGTGGCACGGTCCCTACGTCTTTCCTCGTCGTCCCCTCGCAATCAATAAACCGGTTTGGGTTACAAAAGAATCTGTGTGTAAAAGTAGAGTTATATAGCAAACACTTTACAAAACGCCGACGAGCTTGCGGGTATCTTAACCTTACCAATCTTATCGATTTGCATTCTTATGTTAAAAAGAACGATCAAACAGACTTTTGTTGGACAACAAAGATTTTTCGCTAAGTCCGTAAGATCCTTTAGAGTACTAGTATATCCATTACTCACCTAGCCTAATATTGAGTGCAATTTCAATATTCTAATCAAATCTTGTTGCAGTACTTAAAAGTATATAAGTATACATAAGTTTTCATACATGTACTTTAAGTACCTATGTATGTATGTATGTAAGCACATACGCACTCATATCGACGAGTACATGTCGATCAATAAATGTCCCAAATTAACCGTAATTACGTAAGCCTATATCGTGGAATGAAATTTACATAGATTTAGTTCACCTTGATTTTTCCATTATCAGCCATCTAACTATATGTATGCATTCATACATACATACATACATACAAGTAAACGGGGAAATTCTAGTAGACGTCTGATAGCAATCGACCACATTTAGGTCATAAATACGTTTATTGTATAACGTACACCTTAGCAACGTTCTTTGATCTCCATTAGATTTAATATCTAAAGGTTGTGAAATGCATGCTCTTCGGCAGATTAGTCTGTTTTACATACATACATACTACGACCGCAAAGAGACGTGGTTCATTGACGGGGCAATTCTAGTAGACGCCTGATAGCAATCGACCACATTTAAGTCATAAATACGTTTATTGTATAACGTACACCTTAGCAACGTTCTTTGATCTCGATTAGATTTAATATCTAAAGGTTGTGAAGTGCATGTTCTTCAGCAGATAAGTCAGTTTTAAAAGAAAACATTGACCATCGTTAAATATATTTTGTCTCAATTTGCTGAAACCCGAGCCTTTTTCTAGGTAGATCAAACTTCTTGGGAACCATTTCGATATAGGATTCATTTAAATCTGCACCACCACGGCGAGCTATAGCACTATGAGACCACATGGAGCGAAGTTATACGATGAAATATTCATTATATTTTACCCATTGCTAAGTAATCTAACCAGCACGCGTCTAGAAATTTTCAAACTGTTTATATTGTAGACAAACTTGTATTCTAAATATCATGAACATGTAACATATCTAATCGTCTCATGACAACAGATGTACTGATTTTAAAACATTCGAGCTTACATACAAGTAAAAGCGTAAATGGATATGAGCGACGGTGTGTACATGGAATTCAAAAGTGAACAACCACTTTATTTATTTACATTGTTGAACTCGCTTGCAATAACAAAATTAATTTTTCAGGAATAGAGGTTGCCAGGTCAACAAAATGTATTGTAGTTTATGTTATTGTGAACATAATACGAGTATGTACATATTAATTTTTTCAAAGATGTGTGCATAAATATTTATGTACTCATATGTATATAAATTTTTGATATGTCAAAGTGTGATTTTTTGATCAATTTATCTGACTTGGATGCAAACTAAAATATATCGAGCGGTGTTAAATCGCATGCTTTGGAGGCCACGCTCACCAAAAGTTTCCTCCTTGTTTGTTTCGTAGGCTCTATGTATCATTATGACCGGCTTCAAACTGTGGCTTTTTGAGATTGTAGCTGCGTCTAAACATTCTTCGAACGTACGACACACTTGATGGCCGTTCGATCTGTTCATTATGAAACGGCAAAGTAAATTGAGTATAAATCGAGTAACAGCTGTCAAAAAGACCAACTCCGAAAAAAGTATTATCTCATTGAAAACCACACGTCTAAAAAAAACACCCGTTATAAGGTTGTGTTGTTAAATACTGTTCTTCTTCTCTTTTATGTTATCAAAACTTTCTTGTTTAAATTTCGATGTTATTGGGTCTTTTACAAACAATCCGTATACCGCACATTATTGAATATAGAGTTGTTTAAAGAAATTCCTCTAAAGTGAAAGATGATGTTTAGATTTTTAGTCGGCCACGACTGTATAAATGTTGAACGTTTATTATTTTTGGATTTATTTTGAATTATTATGATATTGGAGCCATCTTCAATCAATTCTTCATCGACCAATGTGAATGCCCTTCATTATTTCTATTGTATAATTCAAAATTATACATATTTAGGTAGGTAATAAAAAAAAATGTCCGAAGCTTTCTAGAAAAGTTGTCTCCCTTTACAGTCCATTAAAAAAATATAATCAGGTTTGCAATTCTGACAACTAAACACATCTGTCTTGGATCCGTCAATACCCCTGAATATTTCTGAGATCCATGGCCAGTCTGGACATGGTTAAAAAATGGGTCACCGTTTGCACCAAACCATCACTGATTCTTATTTTTTGCAAACAAACGAAAGATCTTGGCGATTACAAGAATAGTACGCCATGTCTCTCTGCGAATCAAACTATTCCATTTCTTCAACAAAAATTTCCGAAACGTTTGATTTCAAAAGAAGAAATCACTGACACGCCACTTAGATCCCCAGTCTTGACTCCACCAAATTTTTTCGTCAAGTTACGAGTAATTGAAAATCAGGGAGTACGCCAGCAATCCCCATACCATTGATAAGTTCATGGCAATAATTCGTGATCGCTATGTTTATTGAATCCAATTGATTATAATCAAATTACAATCAGTTCAAGCAAAGTCCATTGAATTACTCGAATTTTTACAATAATAACGTGTTTAAATTCCTCGAACTGTGTAAACCGACTCATTCATGAGCACTTACTAAACAGAGTTTGTTTACCTGGCTATCGATGTATGTATATATGTAAAGCACTTATAAGTCTGCCAATGGTTTCAGATTTCAAACACATAGGCATATATGTAGTACACGTACAATACATACCCTCGCTCTTACCGCACATGGTTCAACGGGAGGGTGTATTTTAAATTTCATAAAGTTGCTCATTGTATTTACTTCTTCATTGCAGCTCTAAAAGCCGGCGATATGAGTCAAAACCCGGACACTACATTCTTACCGGATCTTCCAAAAGGACCTTTATGTAGATATCGCAGTCGCGCTAAATTCGACTGGAAGCAGCTTAAAGTGATATTCGAAAGAGAGCAGGACTTGCGCATAAAGGTGGGTGATTTTACGTTATATTAATAAGAGCTAACGTAACGTAGAGCTCGTAACGACTAAAGTTCTAATGACCAATGCTATATTTTATTTTGCAGTATAAAGTATGGAAGATACTTGAAAATGATCCACTATTCTCCAAACCACAGTCTACACTATCTGCCGACGAACAGAAGCATCTCTGCGCCATGCAAGTTAACCGCATGCCACATTTGAATCTCATACCGAAAGAGATCGAACAGAAGAGTTTCGGTGAAAAAACCAAATATTTGATGAGCATAAATGAGGCTTTGCACACATACTGTCCGAGTTTGTCAGTGAAAATCGCATTGGGTGTCGGACTCTTTAACAACGCCATACGCGCTATGGGCACAGAAAGACACATGAAGTACTATGACGCTGCGTGGAATCGTGAACTTATAACGTGTTTGGCCATTACAGAGCTGGCGCATGGTAGCAACACGAAGAGTATTCGTACCACTGCTACATACGATCCAAAAACGCAGGAGTTCGTAATAAATACGCCAGACTTTGAGGCGGCGAAGTGTTGGGTTGGTAATTTGGGTAAAACGGCCACGATTGCGATGACATTTGCCAATTTATACACGAATGATGGTGAAAATCATGGGCTCCATGGTTTTCTAATACCTATACGCGACCCGAAAACACTGCAGGCATATCCAGGTGTGCTGGTTGGTGATATTGGCGAAAAGATCGGTCTGAATGGCATCGACAATGGCTTTGTACTATTTTCGAACTATCGCATTCCACGTGAAAATCTCCTGAACCGCACTGGCGATGTGACACCAGAAGGTGTTTACGAGAGCGTCTTTTCTGAACCCGGTAAGGTGTTGGGTGCTGCTTTAGAGTCTTTTTCGGCGGGTAGAATTGGCATTATGCAGGAGTCAGCGAATACTCTGGCCAGTGCCGCTGTTATTGCTGTGCGTTATGCAGCGCTGAGAAAGCAGTTTGGTCCCGAGAAAGATGGACCGGAAGTGCCGATAATTGAGTACCAGCTTCAGGTGCGTGTTAATTTTTCACATGAAATTATTATTATAAAAATTTTGTTAATCGAAATCTCACTCGTAGCAATGGCGCATATTCCCATATCTGGCGGCAGCTGGTGTACTAAAACTTGCTGTAGCGGAGCTGACAGAAATTTATCTTGGCATCATTGAAAGATCCCAGAAAGATTCTAATGGATTTGAGTTTTTGGTGAGTAGAATGTCTATAAAATGAGTTTGGCAATTTTTTATTTAATTTACTATTGGTAAATATTATACTGAAAGTCTCCTATAATCTACACTCATAAACCCTGTCAAGAGTTAAATCATAATAAACATTCATAGGCTCAAAGAATTCTGCCGATTTAAAATTTGTTTTCTTCCCCTTTTAAAAGAAATGCGTCTTATCAACTTTTTGTTTCCCATCAAATAGGCATTCTATCGTTGGCCTTGCCAAGTCTTTATAGAATTTAGTCGGTTGTAGGACTTTGCGGTATACATATATGTACTACACTTGTATGTAATAAATCTAAATAGAAATCATCCGACAGAGTACATAACTATGTACATAGATACGATTACATACAATTTTACATATAGCTGATTTGTTTTTATTCAAATTGCAGACCCAAATTGTGTCCGAAATTCATGCAGTGATCTCTTCATCGAAACCCCTGCTTACATGGACTGCAAGAGATGCTATTCAAGAAGCGAGAGAAGCTTGCGGTGGTCATGGTTATTTAAAAGCTTCCAAACTAGGCGATCTGCGTAACGATCACGACCCAAGTGTCACCTATGAAGGCGACAATAATGTGCTCGGACAACAAGCATCCAACTGGCTTCTGCGACAATGGAATAGCACAGTTGAAAGTCCAGTGGGCACTGCAAATTTTTTGAAAAATCGTGATGATATTCTGCAATACACCTACGAAAAGGTGGCGCAAGAAACGCCAATTGAATCTATGGATTGTGAGTTAAATTCTATAACATATATTTGAGCAGATATTTACTTGCAACATTTTGTCTTTCTAGTCGCTCTGCAATGCTACGAGTGGATGTTGTGTTATCTACTGGAGAAAACAGCGAATCGTGTGGCTGAAGACATAAAAGCCGGAGCACATCGTTTTGATGCTCGCAATAACTCTCAGGTGTATGGCGCGCGCGATTTGTCATTGGCTTATGCGGAATATTTCGCGCTAAGTCGTTTCCGCGAGCGGTTCCGCCGTCTGGAAGTGAACACTGAATTGTCGCAAGTACTGGAACTGCTCTTCGCCATCTATTCAATGTGGTGCATTGACCATCACATGACCACCTTTTATGTGGGCGGATTTGCAAAGTCAGCCTCGTTTGCCGAAGCGATACGTGCACGCCTGCTTGTTAAATGTAGCGAACTGAAGGACTCGGCAGTATCGGTAGCAGACGCATTGGCGCCGCCTGATTTTGCACTTAATTCGATCATCGCCAAATCCGACGGGCTTTTGTACGACAATTTACAAAGTGAATTTATGACCCATAAGGGTGCATTTGAGCGCCCCTCTTGGTGGAAAGATATTATTATTCCTCAGGTTAAGTCGAAGCTTTAAAAAAAAAAGTACTCCGCCGAATGTGAATAGGCAAACATATTGCATTTTTCTAGTGTAGGGCATTTTTACAAGATGAATAACTGTACTGTAGTTGAATGTAATGTGAGCGTGAATCATGAAGCTGATTGGGTCTGTATAGAATATATAGTATGTATGTAAACTATGTACGAATATAATCTGTGTAATTTATTGGCGCACAGTCTTGTGCAAAATATAAGTATAACTGATAGAGAAATCTATGATAATGGAACGAGTATATGATATTTTTGTGGCTTCAAATTTTTACATACGCAAACTATTTGATATGAAAATTTATTAAGTAAATATATTTACATACCTAAATATTTATAGTATATATATATGTATTTATATCGTTTCATATTGAATTAATATAAAAATACTTTTATATATTTATCTAATTGAATTCACAATACCACTTTGTATTTCCTAAATTAATTTTTGTATCGATGCTACGTTGGAGTTGTTGTTGGTGTTATGAGTTTATTAAAATGTATGTATGTATTTTGTAGCTGTTAAATCATTATATTGATTAAAGATTATAACTGAATGAAAATTGTTGAATTCATCTCAAATTATTTTGCGATATAAAAGGGACAAAATATTTTCAAAAATCAGCAAAAATAAATTTAAAAAAAGAAGGAAAAACAAGTAAGGAAGAACTAAGTTCCGGTGTAATTGAACATTTTATACTGTCGCAACTTGCAAGGATCAAATCCATGGAATACCTTCAAGTGTACGCAAAACTTTATACTTATGTATTAAAACATGTTGCGAAGCAATTTAACATTGATTATTCATGAAATTGGTAATTTATTAACTAATAGTATATGCCATGGACACAAAATTATCTTCAAATGAGTTATTGTGATATATATAGTTGATGAGGAAACATCAACCAGAAGATGAGAATTAAATGCATTAGAGATATATGGTTTATGTAGTCCAACGTCTATAATAATTAAATTTATATTCAGCGCTAAACCACATAATATTTAGAAAACTTGAGTCAGTTGGAAAGTCGCTTAACAGGATATATTAGGGGTAGAAAAACATATTTTCAAGCAATTTTATAAAAAATTAGCTTACACTTAACTGTCATATTCGGCATGCGATATTGAGTATTTTTAGACTTGAGATGACATATCTTAAGTGCACTCTTCTTGTTTTAACCCGATACATTCATTGGTGCTTGTTTTGTATACTGGAACGCGAAATAATCAAATGGAATTTAAAGTTGTGTTATAGGGGCGTGCTTATAAATCTGTTTCGCCCAAACGCACTGTAATATAGGAATGTCAGGATAAAGTTACGTATCGAATTTGGTTGAAATTGGTCGAGCAGAACCTGTAATACAAGATTTCACCTATAGGTCCACGTTCATCGTCCAATTTCGACACCGGCTTATATAAAGCTTACTTATACTATTCCGGGTATCAAATTTAAGGTATCTGGTGCATTTGTATACTCTTGCTACAGTGTATAAGTGTTTTGTTCACCTAAAGGTTGTTTGTATCCCCTAAAAATAATCGAGATAGATATAGGCTTATGTATGAGACGGTGACTATCTGTCCGTCCGTCTGTGCAAGCTGTAACTTGAGTAAAAATTGAGATGTCTTGATGAAACTTGGTACACATGATTCTTGGCACCGTAAGAAGATTGGTACTGCCACGCCCAAAAAACGCCTTAAATCTAGAACCAATAAATAGCCATAACTAAGCTCCACAATAAGATACAAAGATGTTGTTCAGTACAACTAATTGCTCTGGGAAAGGGCATCAATGGTTGAAAAAATCTTGAAAATGTGGGCTTAGCCTCGCCCTCTAATTGGTTTAATGTGCATATCTTCGATACCATTAAAGCTATAATAACCAAATTCACTCAATACAAATCTTTTTAGTACCCCTACCTTTCAGTGTGAAAATGGTTGAAATCCGAACACAGGTGATAATCCGAACACTCTCCATATAACGGGTTCGGATTAAAACTACTAAAAGTGCAATAACTCATTGAGTAAAGAAGTCAGAGAGTTTGAATTTTACATATAGGATGGTATCTATAAGCTTTATAAGAGCCAATACAAAAATTGGGCAATGGGCGTGGCACCGACCAGAATTAGGGGAAATCCCATATTTCGGGATCTCCTTAACAGCTTTTAACTAAGTTCGGTAGATAACATTCTTCGCAAATTCCTATGTTACAGTGCGAAAATGCTTAAAATCGAACTACTCCCACGCCTTCTTCCCATATAACCCAATTTTAAATTCCACCTGATATAATGTGATAACACTTATAACATTCACAAAGGCATAAAAATGGATGGAGGCTATCGAAAGCTATGAACCGGATTCCTCTATTATTGAATAATTTCCTTTTCGTGCCACCATATTTTGTAAATCTTCCCTTAATGTTGAAAATATTGCAATGCTAAACAAGCTTAGAGAATTAATGTAAGAAGTAGTCACGGTTGTGGTACGACAATATTTTATTTTACGTTCGTTTATTAAAAGATGGACATGAGATGAGAAATGGTTTTCTCTCTTAATGGACATATTTTTTATCAATCGTTATATAGCACATAATTTAATAACAAGCTTATTGTTGCAAATAGTAAAAAATTGTGAGAGTGGGATGATTGTAAAAGACCACCTTATAATCTAAACTTTAATGCAAAGATTGGGACATTATTTTCAATTCACCTAATGCAGATTTATATCATTTTTTAGTTCAATGACTTGAAAATCCAGAATAATATTGGAGTTCTCTCTCATCTCGATTTGCTCCATTTGTGCGGGCACATTGATGTTGTCCGACAAATAGAGAGACCTCCTCAAGAGGACCCCAAAGAGCTAAGGGCAATTTCAGTAGCTTGATAACAATAATATAAGAATACAGTCGGAAATTTGTCACTGTTTGCCGAGGTGCGACCGCTATTGGAAAAAGTATTTATGCTAGTACTGTGGACATCTTTTAGCTGTAGCAGGATTATTAGATATCCTTATCAGATTTCTTTTCAACAGTCTTTAGCCTTATTTGCCTCAATTTCTTAATAAAAAGTCAACATAAACCGTAGTCTAAAATATACATCGCACTTCGATTCTGTGTGGATATGACATCAAAATATTTTTCGTTATTTCAGAACAAAATAAAATGCAAATTATTGCTTGGCCATTACAAAATTTCAGATATTAACTGAATATAAAATAAGCGATTTTTTGAAGAGCTGATAACAGAGGTGATCTCAGAAAGTGAAAACAAGATTAAGGTTTAGATATTCAAGAAATTCAGATTTAATAAAGCAATGATTAACTATATACTGTTTCATTCATAATTTAGAATAAAAGTCTAAAATGTTAAGTAACACGTATTTTGGTGTAAACCCAAAAACGATTAAAAATAATTAAGTAAGATGTAATTGATTTAAAAATACATTTTTATAGGCGCGCTGCATGAACAAATAAAACGAGTTATTATTCTTAGTATAAAAAGTAGACACCAAAATAAACCAGAAGCGAAGCAGCTGAAAACATTACAAGCAGTCATCTACTCTCGAAACGAAAAGACGGCGGAATGAGAAGAATTGGTTATAGCGCAATTAAGAGTAGGATTTAAGGCAGAAGAAGTCTTATGTAATTGATTTGCAGATTGATTATCTAATCTGCTAAATACGCTGAAAAGATGTTAAACTGATAACTGAATTCATCACAGCGTTTAATATTCCATTATTCGGTGAAAGTATATAATCTAAGCCGATACCCTATTCAAACACCGAAACAAGGAGTTGATAGGTGGCAGGTTTGGATGAAAGTATGTCTGCGATTTAAACTTAAGCTTGCACAGGGCGCTCAAAATAAACTTCGAAACTAATTTGAGCAGCTAAACTAAATCTCCAAGCCACAACATTTTGTATTATACACAACTGCGGGCACTATTTATGGTGTAAATTTAGTTAGGAAAAAGAAAAATGTAGGACTCGACTTAACTGGAAACATCAAATAGTGACGGGATTAACTTTCCGAGTTTTTGTTCACCGACAACTTGGAAAAGAAAGAATAATGTATGGATTGTTTTAAATTAATTTTCACAGTGCATTTTTTGCAAAAAAAATATTAAATAGTTTTTGAGTTATACGTGGTTTCCCACCAAAAGATATTCCCCTTCTTGATGATCGGATCATATGTCTTCGAGTTAACACTGCAGCGAATTCAAAATGTAACTCAGAAACTATTTGAGATATCGATTTAAATTTTTAGTGTGTTGTTTTTAAAGGTATAAACTATCGATATATGAAAAAAAATCAAGTATTTCAAAATTTCACACTAGGTTAAGCGGTTAAATTAAAAACGCAGCATCAGTAAATTTAGAGACCAATAAAGATATTGCTGCTTGGAATCCTTAAAAATATAGTGCACAAGCAAGTAGTCAAAAATTTTTGAGAAATTAAACCGTTTTTCTATCATTATTAGAATTTCAAACAAAGCGCACTCTGGATAGAGATTTTACTTATAATAAATAAACTATGTATGGAATGGCTGGGATAGAGTTTCGCCGGTATCGAAGATGATGCTCTGTTGTGAGTCGGACTGTGCCCTGCCGTAACATACTTGTACATACATAATGTCAATGTTAATACGTAAGCACTCCTTGGTTGTGGTTGAATTCGGTTCGGCTCCAATTAAGTACACCTCCGTTTCATTATTGCGTTACTTTCATATATTTTGGCTATCAATGTGTTAAACAGATGTAGATGTATATTTTTATATCTAGTCATTAAGTGCTCATGACTTGAGCTGGGTGATTCCCAATAATAAAATTTGATTGTAATTCTGTTCGTTGTGAATCTGATTTGCATCGGCTGTCATAATAGAGACTCTTTTTATACTCTAGCAACATTTCGCTACAGAGTATAACTGTTTTGTTCACCTAACGATTTATTGTATCACCTAAAACCTATTCGCGATAGACATAGGGTTATATAAACTTACATATATAAATGATCAGGATGACGAGACGAGTTGAAATCCGGGTGACTGTCCGACCATGCAAGCAATAACTTGAGTAATACCATGTTCCGATCAAAAATTTTAAGTGATTAGATTACCTTTATTCTATTTACTAATCTGGACTGTCCTCACTGCCCTTGGAGATTTATTAAACAGCTGTTTTTATTTCATTTTCTTTATTAAAAGGAAACATTGTAATGTCGTACTTTGTTATAAAAATCGTGTTGTTTTTGTACTTTTCTTTTAATGTAAATAATGGACGCATTTTTTGATTTGGGAAGTCGATTGCCAAGTGAATACAGATGAATTGCTTTTAATTTATTTGTTTGTTTACATTTTTTTTTTCTCGTTGTAGTGTCTAAATCAGCTGTGATAAAGTTCTCTCATGCGAAACAGATAGCGGTAAATCAGAGTCGCATAGAGAGATTTCAAGAAGTATTATATAACTTCAAATATAAGGACAAGTTTTCTGAAAAAATATTTTGGTTTAGCGCTGAATATACAAGTATGTAAATGAAATTGGTATAAACCTCATATCCCTAATCTGGTTGATGTTTTCTTCATAAACCCAATACACATATTAAATTTATCACCTATGCTTGAGTTACTATCACAATTAATTCATATCTTATTTGGGTTAATTACGTTGATTTAAATTTAGATATTTCGGACATGTAAGTAATGCATAATGTAGTAATGAAACTAATTGACGATTTACGAACTTTGGTCTAAATTGATGAGAAACCAAATATGATTGTTATCCATTTATAATTTAGTAGAATAGAGAATATCGAATTCTTGAAAATATGCCTCCCACTTTGATATTTAATAATTGCAAAAGTATAAAATTTTCGGTTACACCCCAACTTAGCTCTTCCTTACTTGTTTGTAGTTATTATTTTATTTATATTTTGTTTACTGTTTCGCTTTTCTAATTTCTTTTTAAATGTGTTTCTGTTTGTTTGTATTTATCGAATCAATCGTTTTGCCGCCTACCCGCTTCAACATCTGCTATTTGCATTATTAGACGATGTGTAAGATTTCTCTTTTTTACTTGGCGCTCAAAATGAATATTAACATACAAATTTAAATTTGTAGCAGCAAATTATGCATACAAATCAAGTAAAAGCAAAAAACTTAACCCTTTATAACTTCACGTAACAGGTATAATTAAAAATTTTAGCATTTCTGATACTGTTTTTGAGCCGACGAACAAATACCTAAAGGATCTGATCAAACAAAATTTGCACAACGTAAGTAATGATTAAATGGAAGACGAAAAATTCAAAGTAATATGTAAAAGTTTAATATAAATTATTTGTACTTTCCGAAACAATGGTATCAAGTAAAGTGTCGAAATGTAATCTGGAGCTGAAATTATTATAAAGCCTCAAATATAGTAAAGAGAGCAGCCATAAATATTTCAGAGAATCGAAACTACAGACTAGATTTTAACAAATATTTAACGCCGCTGTCGCTACTAGAATATTGAGCCAACTAACGAATCTGCAGCTTACGAAAAAAACGACGAATTGGTATACCTGATTTCATACTATCAATATATGGTATAGATGTAATTATCATTGCCTGGAAGAACAAGAAATCTTATGCCTTAGCACTTGCTTATATAAGTGAGCTACCAAAATCTGAATTATGCCTTTATGTAAGACCGTGCATTGTGAGCGAGTGTAACCAGACAGTAGGTAATATTATATGCCGCTTTAGAATATTGCTGATAAATGGAAGTTGACGCAGGACAATCAGTTGACTTTTCTTTATAGATTTGTGGTTCTATGAAAATTATGCACGAACAGAACAGAAGCGTTTACTCAGTCCAAGATGTTCTTCCATTAGCACCAAATTTTAAAATATTCACGACAGTCGAGTCTATGTAATATACAATATGTTGCAAGTGACCTGAATGCAGCGGAATGTCACAAAACAAAATGTCGTTAGATATAGAGATGAAAGACTTTTTAACGTTACTTTTTAGTTAGTAACAACAAAATGCAAGCGGTGAAAAATTGTTTATAATTTACAAGCTCTTTGACAGTTTTTCAATGTTGCCTTTTCTCACTGTAAAAATTATTATGTCACTGAGTATTTAAATATTTAAATAGCGCAATCTTATTTCGATCATTCTTGCAAAAAAATAACTTCAAAAATTATCACATAATGTGATATATCTTGTTGTTTCCCTTCAAAAAAAAGGAAAAATCATGAAATATGAATGTTTGTATGTGTTTAATTTCTTACGAAAATCTATTAGAATACACATGATTTTAGTTATTTTAATTAAGCTGAGTTATAAGGGGTTAAAGTTAAAATAAAAATAATTTATTTTTCGAAGATTTTGTGTAAGTATCATTATAATTTCTTTAGATGTATATATCTATATATGCATAAAAAATGCTTGTATTTTCACACTAAATGTGACTCTCATAATTAATTAACAGGTATTCTGGTTATATACTATGTGTAATTCTGATATTATTTAATATAAATATATACATACATATATTATAGAATACTGCAGATACAATTCTAATATTTTAATGAACACTTAATGACTTGCGTATCGAAATGATAGGTGAAAAAAAATTATCTTTTCAGTTTAAATTTTTTTTAAAATTAACATGTGTATTAACTAGTGTTATATTATATATACTTAATTTTGCCATAAATTTTGTTAAAAGCTCAGGCCGTTATGGAAATAATATATAATAACTATAATACATTTCTTAGTAAATTTTATTTAATAGAGCGATATACAAAATTCTATTCAAAACGTTCACCTTTTCTTTTCACATAAGCCTTTAAACGATCCGGACATTGAGCAATAGCAACACTTACAGTTTCTATGGATATTGATAACGCTGCTCCAAGTAAAGGTTTTTTGAGATTCTTCAAATTTCTGGGTGGTACTCGACAAGCCATGTTCTCCAAACTTGAAAAATACTCAAAGCCCGATATCTAATTCTAATATAAATATATGATATATTTCTGGTACCATTGTTTAAGGTTCCAATATCATTATTATCTTATATCTAGACTAGTAACCTAATTTGCTATCGCCATAAAGAAGTGAGGAGTACAGAGGCAGTGGTTTGTATAATCGCGAATTAGTCGCAGTTTCAAAAGATTTCAAAGTGTCCTGATCTATAGCCGTTTAAATACCTAGGTAGTGAGACTGATAGTGCAATAACCGTCGTAGCAATACATTTACTGGAATAAAACCGGTTCATTGTTACTCCAACTGATAGCGAAGTTACTTCTATCCGCCCATGTACCTTTATGTAAGCAGCTCGTTGGCGATATCCAGCAATTTACCATCATAGCTAAGTCAAATTACATCAATTAGGAGCAATTTGTATGCATCGTAGATATAATTAAGTCAGTATCTGCGAAAGAACTCAATAAAAGCAAACTGGTTTGTAGAAATTGTCAAAGGTGAAGGAGTTCACTCTTTAAATATGGTTGAACTTCCTCTCCTCATCTAATTAAATATACACTTTGATGCTATCCGTCGATAAAATATTGTTCGAAAAATTTGAATCAAAATCTAGGCCTGTAGAGGTTTAATGACAAATCTACTCACAAAAGATCAAACACGAATTATTTAAAACTGCGTAGTATGAAGATTATGTGAATGTTGGTAAAAAAATTTTACGCCAAAACAAAAGACTTAAGCGACAAACTGGCATCATTTATGCTATGTATTCGCTTATATTATTATATTATTCAGTCGGAAGGCAATTAGGCTTACTCAAAAGACATTCTTCTGTAGTTTTTAGAAATAATAGTTTCAAAATGAAGGAATCTTACATCAAGTAGCCCTATTTGGTTGGAGAGATATTTTTATAGTTGAAACAATTTTAGTTGACATTACATTTCGTTATTTAAAATCTTTATTGCAATAATATATATGTAAATAAAATGTTTTCGATTTGCCTCAAAGCTTTACAGCTGCAAATCCATTTCATATCGTACTTTTAAATAGAATAAAACAAACCGATTTTTCATCTGTACAGTTAACCAAGCACGGAGTGTTCTACAGCAGGAGCAAAACAGTTTCTCGAGGAGATCAAAAGCAAACCACAAAAGCACCGTTTATTTCAATGTCGAATCATCTCTAAATGAAATCGTTGATTGCATTTTTTGCTCGGATTGCCGATTCAAGCACTTTCCGTCGTGCAAAAATGAAATGCACGACTTAATTTATTACACAATAAAAATTTAAGCATTTTTTGAAAACGTTACAAAATTGCAGCCACATTTAACAGATTAAAAGAAAAAAGTAAAACGGCTTTCATTAATCAAATAACTGCCAACTGCTCAGACAAGCAAATTGATAAATAAATTTGCTGCTAAAACCGCACATTTAATTTATCCACGAGCTATGCGATGGAAAGCGATTTGTTTTGGTTTTTTTTCGCTTTTTGCTTGTACTTAAACACATTACCAATTATAAACCTTTTTGAAATAGACTTATTGATACACAGGCCTTTAGAAATTTGCATTAATAATACAATAGTGTAAGTATAAACAAATTTTACCAATGCCAGAGAGAGTGAGAACTATTGCTGATCAATCGAGTGATAGTAGCCTTTTCAACCCACTTAACGCTCACTTGTTCACCTGCTGGCACCAAAATCTGTCAACGGGTTAAGATCTTTGCCATTGGCAGTGGCAATAGCGTTTGCCGGGTTTATAAACAGCTGGCCGAATACTGGTTGGATTCAATCGTGCAAAAGTTGCTGCGCAGAGAAGACGTCTTCCTTTTGTGTTTTGTACTGAAAAGAATTTAAACAAAAAACAAAAAAAAAATTGAGGTTTCAATAGTCTGAAAAGAGTGCAAAGCAAACCGAGCAGCTGAAATAAAGAGAGTGTTAAAAAGTGAGTGCAAAATTTGGAAAATAAATAATTTATTAAGTGGCATTGGAAGCTGTTAATTGGTAACCGGTAAAATAAGCCACCTTATTTGTTTCTTTTTAAATGTGCAAGATGGCAAGTGATATTACAACTTAAAGAGAAATTTACGACGAACATATATGAATTCGCATGTGTAGAGATATTTTCAATAGCAAAAATACTTGATTGTTTTTTTTTTTTCTTTTTTTTTTTATAAATTAAAAGTTTATATATAAAAGGCGACGCAGTTTGCTTTGCAATTCCAGTTTCATATCTATATACATTTCATTTTTTCTATTAAATATTTCTTTGTGTTTTTACAATTCTTAAGAAAACCCAATTAAAATTAATCAATCATATATTTATAAGCAAATAAACGCCGCATTTCACGTAAATAATTAAAAGTTATTGCATTGGTTGTAAATAAATAAACAACTACCTTTGAATGCCAGTGTTTGTAAATACCAATTCTCGTAAGCAAAAGCTCGCATAAAGATGTTTGTACACACCTACACACATTATATACATACATCTATGTATATATGGTATACATATGTATATATACATATATAGGTATGTATGTACGTTTTTTTATGATTTCATCAAGCTGAGAGCATTCAAAATTTCAAATCAATGATTTTGCATTCAGACTAGCGCAGCTTTTCTTTTTTTCCTACAAAAGTTTAATGTTATTCAGAAACAGTGTGACGAATATGTTAATTGAGTGAACAAATTTTAATTACTTTCTAAAAAAAAAAACTTTCTAGTTTTTCAAACTAATCTTAAGATGTTTTATTAGTTAATATTTTCAACCAATTCATTCAACAATTTGATTCGAGTTATGTATGTAAGTTATTACATGTTTGATTTCTTCCAAACTCTTTAAGCTGTGACCCTCGTCAAAAATTTTACGTATGCAGTTTCTTCACTCAAGTGGTAATGGCAGTTGCTAGATTTTTATTCATTTAGCCACTCTTCAAATTATTCGCGAATCGAAAACACATTTTGGTTATGGAAGTAAGATTTTCTGCTATGACATGACATCGCAAGTTAAAGAGTTTGCATTGTGCTAACTTCAGCCTATGTTAATCTATTTTGTAGTAAACTGGTTTCTAATTGACAAAAGTATGCTAGCTCCGTATAAATTTTTGTTTAAAATGATCGGGGGTTTCCTAAGCATTCTTGAATAATTAACACATATCTACATATATACGAATATTGGTAGTTCATGGATAATACAAAAACGTTAAAAAATAAAACAAGAACAGAATGGAAAATTTTGCTTTGAAAAAATATAAATTTAAAAAATCTGTTGAGTTTAAGAAAATGTTTGCGGTTTAACAAAGTTTGACCTCGTTGCTGTGCAGCAGCTATAGGGCTGTGTGATATATATGTATAGTTATATGTAAAAAAATATTTAGAAACATTTAGGAATATAAAACTCAAATGAAGAAAAATATAGATATGGGTTTTATATATATAAGGTTGGTTAAGCTATGTAATGAAGTGGAAACTTAACTGGCAAAACGCTTTGGAAATATCTTTTTAAGTGACTTATTCCGATTCCAGATAATTCGCCTAGTTTACTGAATAATCTATTTAGTGAAACTTAATATTTTTACTAATAAAATGACCACATAATTTTTATACTACAGAGAGTTATAGAATTATATCTAACATATATAATTGAGCAAGATTACGGGACGATTTAAAATCCGGCTGACTGTCTGGTTAGACTGTGCAAGCGATAAATTGAGTGCGAATGGAGATATCGTCATGAAACTTTGTATACGGGTTCCTTGGTAGAAAGGTTGGTATTGTACATGTGCGTAATCCTATTGCCATGCCCACAAAATGCCATTAAGCGAAACCCTTGTCAAAGTATGTCATTTCACATCAAAAATGGTCGAAATCGGATCATAACTTATCAAGCCCCCCGATACCGAAGATGTGAAGCTGAGTGTCTATATCGGACTTTTTACTGAAAGTAGCAAGCAATCTGTGAGACATAACAATAAAACTTAGAGCAGCTCTAATCCTAGTAATAATGTGTCATTGTGCTAAAAAGTGTATGTTGGTCAATATATGGGTTATCTTCCTAAAATTGCGTCGAAACCTGTTCTCGAGTATACGTGGGTAATGTCAAAAGTTAATGCAATCAGTTCAGGGCTTCTCCTAGCCCCAATCACACTTTAAACTCTTTGTCTTAGTCAAAATATGTGACATTTTTATAAAATTAAATGAACGCTGAATTTCAATGATGTCGGTCTATACCTTGGTCTACACCTCATATCCCTTCTATAATGATTTTCGATAAATCTAATATAAATCCGATAAATAAAATGATCAATTGTATAGCTCCTTTGGATTGAGTTTATATGACATATTTCTCATTTGAGTACATATAAATCTTAGCTAAGGACCAAAACTGGTCTACGCGCGGCTCCTTAGCCTACCTAACCTAAACTAGAAATATATAGGTATTTCTAACACGAAGAAAAATATAGTAATATTAACTAAGAGTGTCAGGTTATATGGGTCATATAATAAATGTGAAGAAGGTACTAAATCTGATTATTCACGGTTTCGTCGAATAATGAATGTTTAATTCTTCCGCAACATTTTTACGCCCTTGCAACATGTGTTACTACAGAGTATAATAGTTTTGTGCACCCAAGACTAATCGAGATGGATATGATCAGGATGAAGAGAATCACCTTGAGTTGAAAATTACTAAAAGTGCCGTTACTCACTGAACAACAGAGCTATAAGCATTAAATTTCACATGAATGTTTAATTCTTCCGCAACATTTTTACGCCCTTGCAACATGTGTTACTACAGAGTATAATAGTTTTGTGCACCCAAGACTAATCGAGATGGATATGATCAGGGATGGCAAAGAAGGATGTTCAATTTCTTGAACAATGGGCATGGCACCGCCCACTATTAGGTGAAATCCTATATCTCAGTGACCAATTTCAACCAAATTTGGTGTGTAAAGTTATCCATTTATTAGTATTGCACACTATGGGCAAAATCGGTTGGCAACCACGCCCACTCCTATGTAATAAACTTTGAAACTCTATCTGATTCTTTCACTTTACAGTATCTAGATCAAATATCAGTGAAATTTGCAAAAATAGTGTCCTCAAAGTATTTAATCTACGCCAAAAATGGTAAAAAATGGCCAAAAAATTTTTAAAATTGAGTGATTACTTCACTTAGCCCGCACATACCTATTATAAATATTTTTTAACTTCCGGTTGACTTTATACCGCATCTATCGGTCAATATGCAAGAAATCTTATTGAAATTTCGAAAGAATTTCTAATAATAGTGTATCTTCTTGCCTGTAATGGATGCAAACTGCCTACTTTTACTTAAAAAAATACGAAAATCCCGTATTTTACATTATTTTGCGAGAGTATAAAATTTAATGTTTAATATAAAGTTTTGCCAACACTGAAGGTATTTCACCGGATTTGATTCTTACAAATTGTAAGACTATAAAATGTTCGGTTACACCTGAACTTAGCCCTTCCTTACTTTGTTTATGTATATATGTATATCTAACAATTCAAAACACTGTGCAAACGTAATTTATGCTCAGACACAGCTACATACAAATGTAAATATGTTATCACTTTGCAAATCTTTCCCTCAATAGCTTAAGAGTAGCACCTGGTAAACAGCAAGCATCCCATCAGGTATGATTAATATTTTTAACAAAGTTGTCAAATTATAGATTTCATTTTATTTAACTCAACGCAGAAGATATTAGAAATGCCTACATTGGAATAAAATATATTATAATATCACAGCGAAAAAAGCAATCTTTTGTTTCAAAATTAAACTTTCTAAATTGTCACTAGCACTTGAAATTTGAAAATAATATAAATATGCAAACACATTCACATTCATATGTACATTCATATACATATGTATGTATACATATGCATAATCGCCAACTTGCTCACCGCCTTGCTATACGCCCGGCCTTAGTTTAAGGTTAAAAGAGATTTGCTGAGATCTTCTGATTTTGCGATACGTCATTTTCAGCGGCGCTTCTCTGCTAGTTTTATTCCATTACTCTACGTAGATTCAGTCAATTTGCAGCATTATCCGCTAACGAAACAATTAATTTTGTGTATACAAAGAAGCTTTCTGTTCATTTAAGCAAGCAATTTTGCTTCAACGTTTTCGCATGCGATAGGTAATTTTTTCGGCTTTGATCTTGAACCAGCATTATTGTGGTCAGCCAGCGGAAAGCGCATTGAACGGACATACACTGGAATAGGTTCCCTTGTAAGGCTTGGCATTGATATTGTAAGTAAGAAACATTTTTTATGTTTATTCATTTTTGTTTTTATTGGTTGTTTTGTTTTGAATTTTGTACCAATCAAATACCGTGCTGGAAATCTATAGAAGTAACGCCTAAGTTGAATTTATACGACTAGATCGTGATTTGTGCACTACACACTTCTAAAGACATAAGTATGTAAGGAATAGTTTTGAATAGACGTAAAATTATCAATTATTACAATTTATGCGAAAACATTGATAGCAAAAAGTTTGTCAGTTCAGCGAAATTTATGAAATATTATTAGCAGAAATATAAAAATATTTAAATGGACTTATGTCCGTATATATACAATAGAACATCGGAAAAGTTGAACAAACTGTCCGAACGTAAACATAAGATTTATGGAAATGAAAGTAGTTAATATAAATTTGTAATGGGTGGTTAAAAAAAAAACAATCGACAAGCCTCATCCCACTTTTTTAACTTATTCCACGTACCTTGGAGTTGAACTACTAATACGCTCTGAAAATTTAACTTAAAATATTTAATAAAAAAATTTGTTGGCCAGCGTAAGTATTTTATGCTCAATTTTGTCTTTGTATCCGTTGATTTCTGAGACGGTGAATCAGTCGATTGTCAGATCACACGGAACCCGCTTTGCGCAGAGCTTTCGCATGTTTT